GAATGTCTCCAGTAAAACTGTAGTAACATGATAATATCAGCTGAATGTCTCCAGTAAAACTGTAGTAACATGATAATATCAGCCGAACGTCTCCAGTAAAACTGTAGTAACATGATAATATCAGCCGAATGTCTCCAGTAAAGCTGTAGTAACCACAGGCAGAACGTCTAAAGGTTTGTTCTGAAACTTGTGGTGTTTTTTCACCATGTTCTCCTCTGAGAGCTGCATTTATGTCATGAGGTCACTGGCAGGAAGTGGTGAAGCTGAAGGAACATCTGCTGATCAAACCCATCTTCAGTCGACATCATGAAGCTTCGGCTCGTCTGTCTGCTGCTCGGTGAGTCCGACTCAAACCTCGTCCATCCAGAGCTCATCCTGATTTGTTAGGATCTTCTCTGTCAGCAGCCACCTTTGAAGAGTTTTAAACTGAGGTCTTCTCAGGAGAAATCAGTTCTAACTGTTTTAAGATGTCCTTCTCATAGTTCATGTCCGGATAAATAAAATGTGTTTACTGTTTATTTTACTTTATTTACAAAATTCTTCCACAGAAAAATTGGATTTCATCAATTTCATTCATTTTTTAATCTGCTTAAAAACATTATTTTTGAATTCTTAAACTCCAGTTAGAGTTCAGCTGCTGATTAACACATTTTAGATTTTAGCCATAATTTTACCACTTTTTTGTTTTTAGCTGATGATGGTTTTTCTCATTTTAGCTTTTAAACAGTTTTGCCAATTTAATCTTTTATCTAGATAAATGCAGATGTAAACGTTTTGACGGCTGTGTGTGGTTTGATGTTCGTTTGACTTGTAATTTTTTAAATAATCTGGGTTTTTTTTACAAATTTACCTACATTCTTTATCAATCTGACCATATTTATTTACTAGTAAACAAAAGACTGACTCTAAACTAAATAAAGTCTTAGTAAACATCCTGTTTTCAGCTACATTATGAGCTAAAATATAAAAACTACAGTCAGTGTGTGTGTGTGTGTGTGTGTGTGTGTGTGTGTGTGTGTGTGTGTGTGT